TGTGAGCTGGAATTAGTCCCTTTCGGGACATGTTGAACTTGAATCAGAATTGTTTCCTTTTTAAATGAACTAAGGTTCACATTGGCCAAGAAAGACTTAAAAGTGTAACATTTTATGTAATTGTATTTTGTATAAATTATAAAATATATATATAAAGAAAACATGTTCCATTTACAAACAAAACATTTAAATAGCTACTTTTCTACTAGGAGGGTGGGGGGTGGGCACTGGAAGGAAACAAGGTCGGAAGGGGGCCACGGTCGGGAAAAGGTTGAGAAACACTGCCGCAGAGGACTGGGCGTGCCTTGGCACCATAATCCCCTTCTGAGTCTCTATCTCCTCTTCAAAAAGCAGGAGCCTGGGGCCTGCCCCTCTGGCGTCTCTCTAGGAGCACTTGCCAGACACACTGCCTGCATTGGTACACCAGCTCTTTTGGAATGTGAAGCCAGGCAAGAAGGAATCATCACTGATGACCCCTTGCTGGGATCTGGCTTCAGAGGCCTCTGGCATCTCAGTCCTGGAGACCTTTAGTATCTTGACCTCTGGGCAGTCTCTAATTCGGTGATGTTGCTTGTGCATCTCCTCCTTTGGCACCTCTGAGACAATATCCAGGTCACAGCAGGACTCCAGAGACACAACAGGTCAATTTCTGAGGTGCCCCCAATCTTTTTATTGATAGACTTGCTGCATCATAGCAGGTAGATATTTAGCAGGTGAAGTGTTGATGGCTAGAAAGTAAGAGGCCCGAGGGAAGGAAATATTAATTCGACATAATCAAACTACAAGGCATGGCTGTTGTTAGTACTGCCTTCCAGAGTGTAGTTTAATTCTGTCAGACATGTACATATCGTATGAATAGCTTAGAGGACACCTTAAAACTCAGCAAAAATAATTCATTCTGAGCACTCAGTATGTTTATGTAGGGAGAACACAGGGACTGTTGATTGCGACGTTGTAATAAACCAGATGAATGTAAGTGATTCAAGCAGGGATTTCAAAGAATGGAAAGTATGACACACACTCAAGATCATATTCCACAATCAAATGCAATAACCGTCATCCCTGAGTCCCATCAGCACAATGATTGACAGAGGCAAAAATCCCCATATCTTGCATAAACATGCAATGGAAGGGTGGGGGAAAAATCTCTAAGTACATTACTGTTTTTCTGGGTTGTTTAAGTGGTGTTAAGAGGGCACTAATCAGATTTTCACTGATCATCTGTGGGCATCCATAGCAATGATAGAAGAACATGACAACCTTGTACTCTGGGACACACTAGGCAGGAAGGAATCATTGCTCCTTGCCAATTCTGTGCTCACCATTGTTCAGGTAGATTCAAATCCTCACTTCAAATGCAAGCATACATAGAAAGTAGGGGTGCTTGAGGAATTTGATTTATGTGGATTTTGTGCAAATAGCACGTGCTTTGTACCTCCCAGATTGACATGCAGGTTTTCTTCAGATTTCGCCCTTCTCCAAATTTCACAATGCGCTTCTTGGCTAAAAAATAGTATTGAAATGCATTAAAATGCATATTTAAGGATGCAAGTGATTAAAATTATTATGTTATTAAATGGATAGCACATGTGAATTTTCATGAGGATTTTTTTCAAGTCACAAATATGGAGCAGAACAGATTTATGAATAAAACCAGGCAAAATTAACATGAAGAATAGACTGAGTGGTCTGACCTTTATAAAGAAGACGGGGGAATTCACACCGACAGAGCATCTGCTCAAGGCTAAACTACATATAATAATCAATAGCATGTATTTTTCATTCTCTCTTACTGTTCCCCTAATGAAGCCACAAAGTCACTTCTCCTTACCAAGCGTGGGAAAGGTTGATGTGGTGTGGGTGCGCCAGCAAGAACAGTGGACTGGCTCCACCACTGCTTTTGCACTGTGCTGACTTACCTGCCACTTCACCTCTCCTAGAAAGCAACAGTGATGCTGCTGCCTGTACACTAGCATGGCAGCCCCACCCCAGGGGTGGAGGAAGGGGGTGAGGTGGGGGCAGCCGCCCCAGGCGTCACCACTGAGGGGGGTGAGGTGACAAAATGCCAGGCAGCACTCACCCTGGGGCCTACAGTGCACCCGAGCCACGTGTCTCTCCTGGGAGTGACACAGTGGCTTGGGCGCCCGCAGGCCCCGTGCTGCCCCAAACAGTCCGCCCTCAACCTCCCCCTCAGCTGTAGGGTGGCTGTATGGGAGGAGGCAGGCAGACTCCTCGGAGGCCCCATGGAGCACCCTGCCCTGGCTGGCCCCGCCCCTAGGTGCAGGGCATGCGCACCACCCCAGGCGCCCAATCGGCTTGCTCCGCTGCTGTCCCACCCCATCGAGTGAGCAACCTGTTTTTCTTTGTGAGTCTCCAAAGGCATCTGGTTTGCAAATATTGGAGAGAGAATGCTAGACTGAAAAGAACCGTTGATCTGATATAACAATGCATTCAACTGCAGTGTGTCTCTGCTCACAACTGAAACATTTCCCACAGTCCATAGAGGTTGTGTATGTCAATAGCATGCTGCAGAATGTTGTATACCTTTATTACTCAGAGAAAATGATGTTCACTTGCTGCATACTAATCCACCCATGAGCATTGTGTTGGGGGCACATTTGAAGGGACTCTGACTCGGACATCGTTTTCTTGATGAGTGACAGAGCATGAAGTTAACAGCCGCTCTGCAAAGATCCTGCTGTCAAAAAGGCTCACAACGGACATTACAAATCCGTGTTGAAGAAATTGTGGGTTGTTTTATTGGGAAGTTTGCAAAAACCAGATTAAGCTACAGTTCCTGGATTCTGCTTTAAGTTTATCTCCACTCCCAATAAGGTACAAAAATATTTTCCTTTTCCAAGCTAGTGTAGCGGGGGAGATGCAATTTTATTTTGGGTTTTTCATCAGATAAATTCAAGGAAGTACACCAGTGACCTTTCCCTAGATTAACACTAACGCCGGTTGATCTTTCTGCTTCGAATTCAGCAAAGGTATTTTTCAAATGTGGATTCACCAAAAAGGGATCTGAAGCAGACAAACAAGGAAGGCAAAATTAGGCACCTTGGTTTGATTGTGCGCCAAAGAGTCACAAATCAGTGGCCATTAGTGACCCACTTCATTGTGAGAAAGTGACAGATGGCAACAAAGCATGGCAAATGGCAAAGGTAGCTCCAAATTCTTTGTGATCCTCACACTTTCCATGGGGGCTTAGTTCCCACCCCAATTCACTAAAGGTGCTTCATCTTTGTACTTCCCCGAAGTCTTCTCCATACCACAAGCAACTCCAGAGGCTTCTAGGTCCACCATTTCACACTATGTTCTTGAAATTGTGTCACCTGTACATTCAGCTTCCCTTGGTAGTCTGGATAAATTAGTAATCCTACCCTGTTTGGATCACTGTAATGGATCGTACATGGGGCTGCCCTTGGAAGCTTCAGTTGATGCAGAATGAGGCTTCCAAAATTTTAACCGGTATACAGAATCACATTACACCAATCCTGGGGGAAAATTGTATTGGCTGCCTATACATTTCTCAGCGCAATTCAAGGTGCTGGTGCTTATCTTAAATTCATTATATTGCTTGGGACCAAATACATGAAGGGGGGCCTCTCTTTATATCAGTGATGATGCAGGATGAAGCCTTCACTGTGATGGTACCCTGTTTGTGGTATGTCCTCACCTTAAAAGGAAAACAGGTACTGACACTGCCCCTGGTGGCTGGTACCAACTGGAACTGGTAGGGTAGAAGACAGGGAGCCCAACAGTAGGGGGAGCCAGAGCTAACATCAGGCAGAGCCACCCCACCGGCTGGTTGTTAGAAAGAAGATAAGGGCAATTATGTTGGTGGGGCAGTGTCCAATTTGCTCCCTAGGACCAGCCTTAGTTTCAATGGAAGCCCATCTACTTGTGCAAGGGGGCTTTGCCCCCTCTCCTTCCCCTGTGTACCCCTGCAATCCCCAAAATTGGCTCTGGGGAGTGATGGTTGAGATAACCCCCAGAAGAGTGTGCAGGGAATGAGAGTTTTGGCAAACTGAAACGCTTACTTTAATGGAAAAATCACCTTAATGTTATGTCATATTCTTCCCCTTATGTATAATTTCAGGTAAGTAATTTGTTTTCTGTTGTACTCCACCTTGGTATCAACATTAATGAGGCATGGGTTGTAGATCATCATCATCATCATCATCATCCCATTTCAATACGGATTCAACTATACAGACCACAAGTGCTTGCGTGGATCAGAATGCAGTGTATCAAGAGAAAGAAAGAAAGAAAGAAAGAAAGAAAGAAAGAAAGAAAGAAAGAAAGAAAGAGGTAGAGACACACCTGGACCCAAAGCTTTCTGTCTCAATACTTCTGACTCCTAGTGAGGTTCAGAACTTTGTGACGCACGTTTTTCCCTACAGAGAGAGCTGCAAAGCTGTGACCTAATATGCCTTTGCTATAAAAAATAAAATCAAGGATTATCCTGCTCCTAGCAGCGTGCATTGCCTTGACGTGACTGATGAAGTTCTAAATCCTTTTCTTTTCTGCAAACATTTGTCAATAATAGCATATCTAGGTGCACTCATCTTGCACTGAGGTGGATTAAAAAGAAAAAGTAAGGCTGTGCAATTAAGCAACATGACCTCTTAAGCAGCTTTCCTATTACGGGGCAATAAACCTGGAATTGAGCCAATGTGAATGCTGTCAGAAGGACCTGCGGCCTGTATATAGTGGAGGTGATATGTCAAGCATGCGTGAGAATTGCTCTTTGAATCATAAAGTCTCATCCTCGGGAAACCAGGCATGGTTCTAGGTTACAGCCTGAGGCTCATTTTCAAAACTTGTTTAGCAACATGATTCCATCTTCACGTGAGGTGGGGATGACTTCATTCCTAACTTACTCTGTGCTGGCGAAGCCTTAAGAGGCAAGAAAGGAAAACCTAATTTCCCTCTGTAGTATTTGATTCAGTAAGTTTCGCTCTGCTTAGATCAGTGAGGTCCAGCTTAAAGACTAGTTGAATAGCTCTGTCGGCAGAGCAAGAGACTCATAATCTCTGGGTTGTGGGTTTCAGCCCCACGTTGGGGAAAATATTGCTGCATTGCAGAGGGTTGGACTAGCTAATCCTCATGGTCCCTTCCAGCTCTGCAGTTCTATGATTCTATGACTACTGAGAGACTAAGGTAAAAAGGTAAAGGACCCCCGGACGGTTAAGTGCAGTCAAAGGAGACTATGGGGTTGTGGCACTCATCCCGCTTTCAGGCTGAGGGAGCCGGGGTTTGTCCACAGACAGTTTCCAGGGTCATGTGGCCAGCATGACTAAACTGTTACTGGCACAACGGAGCACAATGACAGAAGCCAGAGCTCATGGAAATGCCGTTTACCTTCCCACCACAGCGGTACCTATTTATCTACTTGCACTGGTGTGCTTTCGAAATGCTAGGTTGGCAGAAGCTGGGACAGAGCAATGGGAGCTCACCCCGTCGTGGGGTTTTGAACCACCAACCTTCCAATTGGCAAGCCCAAGAGACTCAGTGGTTTAGACCACAGCACCACCCGTAATAAACTCTACCTGTTTACTAAACTCTACCTGTAATACGAGCTACCGTACTTCTTTCTTTGGCCATCCAAACCCAATAAAATTTACATATAGACCATGAAACTGGTACAACTGAATGTTTCAGCTGATGCCTCTGGCGCAAGTTGTACATTATGTTAACCGTGTCTTTACATCTAATGCAAATTTCATCAGTGTGGAGGACGATGAATGGATTTAGAGCAGGCATGGAGAAGGCATGGATTAGGGGAATTCTTCCCAAAGCAAATATTAGCCCTAGAAGACGGATTTTTATCGAGTTGTTGTTGTTTAGTTGTTTAGTCGTGTCCGACTCTTCGTGACCCCATGGACCAGAGCACGCCAGGCACTCCTGTCTTCCACTGCCTCATGCAGTTTGGTCAAACTCATGCTGGTAGCTTCGAGAACACTGTCCAACCATCTCGTCCTCTGTCGTCCCCTTCTCCTTGTGCCCTCCATCTTTCTCAACATCAGGGTCTTTTCCAGGGAGTCTTCTCTTCTCATGAGGTGGCCAAAGTATTGGAGCCTCAGCTTCATGATCTGTCCTTCCAGTGAGCACTCAGGGCTGATTTCCTTAAGAATGGAGAGGTTTGTTCTTCTTGCAGTCCATGGGACTCTCAAGAGTCTCCTCCAGCACCATACTTCAAAAGCATCCATTCTTTGGCGATCAGCCTTCTTTATGATCCAGCTCTCACTTCCATACATCACCACTGGGAAAACCATAGCTTTAACTATATGGACCTTTGTTGGAAAGGTGATGTCTTCATTTTAAGATGCTGTCTAGATGTTTCATCAAGTACTCCCGGTTAATTCTCTCTCATTGCCTCCTCTGATCCCATTAATCACCAGAGCCCCCCACCCCTGTTAATGCAATTTGCATTTAAAAAAAAAACCAACAACAACCCTTCATGCTGGATGTAAAGACATATTTATTTGGCCCTCATGGGAATTGTAGTCTTGTGTTTTTATCTTGTGAACTTCCCCGAGTTCTTCTGTTGAAGGGAGGTTATATAAATTAAAGAAATAAAAAAGGAAAGAAAGAAAGAAAGAAAGAAAGTCCTAAACAGCTGGAGAGCATCAAGTCACGAAAAGCTGGATGAGCTATAAAAAACCAGAAAAATGATCTTGGGGTTATCATGGGGTCATTTTTTAATCTTGTGGTCATTATTTATTTAATGAATAAACAAAACTGCATTAAAATGTGGGGGGGAGGCAGAGGAATTCACGCTAAAATGCTAAGGGATTTACTAGAGGACTTTAAAAAATTGCAAATTAGTGTGGATGTGTGGAAAACATCTGGTGAATCACCCTGAGATCTTCGGATGAAGGGGGAATATATAAATTTAATAAATAAAAATATCAGTGGTGATGATAACTGAACTTGAGATTGAAAAGATGAGAAACTGAAATAGACAGATTCTGTGAACCTTTGTTCCCTCCAGGCCTGAGGAGTGACCCAACAGAGGCACGGTGTTAAGGAAGAGTTGCCAGCGTAAGACATTGTTGGTTCTCCTCTGGGAAGTTTGCAGCGATTCCCACGCTCATTGCACATTCACCTGCAAAGCCAAAGGAGTCAGAGAGGTCCGGGCCATGTGCAAAATGCCAGTTGAACTGAGCACCTTGGCAACTCTCTGAGCCCGTCGACAGCATCTCTCAGCTGCAGCAAATTGAGGCCAGGAATTTGCCAGGACTGGCCGGCATGAATATTTGATGCCCTTCAATATTTAAAGAGCTTGATAAGATAATTTAAGAAACTCTGTCACTTTTTAAATTATTTGTAGACAATTTATAATGTAGCAAAATCCACTCAGTGTGAATAATACTGCGGCTGGAAAGAGAGCAGGGTTGCAGGCTTTCCCTTAATTGGCTTGAAAACATCACAGCGCCGGTGCTGTCACTAAAAACTCTCTGGGGGCCCAGAGTTTTCACTGGTGTAAAAGGGGAATCATTACGGCCCATTTTTGCCCAAAGACCTGGCCTAAGCACAGGAACATGCTGCCCATTTTGAGTCAGGCACTCCATTACTCTCCTTAAGAGGAATGTTTTTGGGGTTGCTGTTTTTTTGTTTGTTTGTTTTTAAGGAGATCACCAGGTTTCATTACAACTGCACTGAATGTTCTGCAGTTTTGATTTCGTGTAGAAATGAGAAATTGTAGTGAGGTTAAAAATAAAATCAGATAAAAGATCTCGTCCCCACCTTAAATGCACTCACCTGGTACAAATATTTAGCTTTAAGAGTACAATCCTATACATTTCTCCTCCAAATTAAGTCCCATTGTATTTAATGGAGTGTGCATAGAATTGCAGCCACAGAAGACCTATTTATAGTGCAAGCATGTAACTGTCTACTCAGAAGTAAGCCCCACTAGGTTCAATGAGACTTACTTCCAAATATTATTTATTTACTTAGTTAATCTAGAGCCCAGGGTGGAAAATATCAACATGTCCATACAGTACATGTTTTTAAAACTCAATAAAATCATATATAAAGGTTCTGACAACAATTTAAAACATTTAAAAACAGAACACCTGAAAACATTTGAAAGCAATCACATGCTCTCAAAGTGATTAATTTTGTGGTTGCCATGTATGTAATTAGCCATTTTCTTCACTTCTCACTTCCCTCTGTGGCCCCCTAGTCTTGTGCTGTGGCCCTCCATTTATGTGATTTTCACCTGTGGCCGCCTTGGAATATCCTGGGGGCCTCCGGCTGAGAAACGCTGCTCTACAGAACAGGAGCAGGACACAACCAAAGGATAGAAATTAAGAAACAGAGCAGCAACATCTAAAGGGAAAATGCAGTCAATTATCCAGTGTCCCATTACACACACAAACACGTGTGTGTACATGCGTGTGTGTGTGTGTGTGTGTGTGTGTGTGTGTGTGTGTTGGAGCGAGAAGGAGAATTGGCTGTTCTGTTCCCACTTTGTGAAGATACACCTTTCACCCTGGAGTTCTAAAACTGAAACAGTTTGTGGGAGTTTGCTCTGTAATGATTCTGAGTCTATGGACAGACAAGAGGAATGAGAAATGGCTTGGTACAAATGTGGTACAAGTCTCCAGGGCTTCTAAGACAACCTTGTGGAACAACCTTTGAAACTTGCTTGTGTCTTGTGAGCTTGGTATTAAGGGAATTTCTATAAATTATACTCTCCAACATTGCATCCCTAATCTGGAGTCTGCCAGACATTTTGAACTACAACTCCCATCTGCCCCATTAGTCCAAACCATCCTGTTCAGGGAAGTTTTTAATGTGTGACATTTTAATGTATTTTTAATCTTTGTTGGAAGCCGCCCAGAGTGGCTGGGGAGACCCAGCCAGATGGGAGGGGTACAAATAAATTATTATTATTATTATTATTATTATTATTATTATTAAGGAAGGGGCACTGGGTTGGGGAAGGCTGGTTTATAGAGCTACAGGTGACAGACACCACAGCAAACCACTTTCTTTAAGCCCAGGTCTTCCCTAACGAAACATAAAGCGAGAGGACATTTTTTCCGGATAAATAATAATAAAATAAATAATAAAATTTTATTTATATCCCACCCTCTTCAGCCAAAGCCGGGCTCAGAGCGGCTAACAACAATAAAAGTAATACAACATTCTAAAATCAATTCATTTTAAAATCAATTCAAAATCAAATTAATGGCAACCATTGGGCTAGAGTTCTGTGAGGATTGGGGCCGTTGTTTAGGCTTGAGTGTCTGCAGAGCAGCTGAAGTTTGTTTTCCTCACAGATTCACTGGCAGGAAGCCGCAGGCAGCAAGGAAATACACAGCTGTTTCTAGTCTGTTTGCTTCAGAGCTCGGCCCACTTGGGATTCTCAGCAACTGGTATGGGGGGAAACCATGGCTCAGTGGAAAAGTATCTGCCTTGCAAGTAGAAGGTCCCAGGTTCAATCCTTGGCATCTCCAGTAGGGTTGGGAGAGACTCCTGTCTGAAATCCTGGAGAGCCGCTGCAAATCACTCATAGGCCATATTGAGCTAGATGGACCAAAGGTCTGACTTGGTCTGAGGCAGCCTCCTCCGTTCCTGTGTTCCTAAAATCATACTCCCTCTAACAGTAGACATTTGTGTAGCCATCATGGCTAGTAACCATTGATAATCTACCGTATTTTTCGCTCCAAAAGACGCACCAGACCATAATGCGCACCTAGTTTTGGGAGGAGGAAAACAAGAAAAATTATTCTGAATCCCAGAAGCCAGAGCAGCAAGAGGGATCTGGCTTCTGGGATACTGTGTGGCTCTTCTGGCTTCTGGGATAACCGCGCCAAGCCTCTTCAGGGCAGCGGAATGAAGGCTTCCCCTGCCCGAAGAAGCTGCGCATGGCTAAGGCAGAAGCCAGGACAGGTGCGTCGCTGAAGGGGCGCTGCGCAGTTCTCTCTCTCTCTCTCTCTCTCTCTCTCTCCTTCACAGGAGAGGCGCTACACAGAGAGGTAGAGCTGCGCAGCGTCCCTTCAGCGAAGCGGGATGAGGAACAGAAGGGGCTCCGTTCCTCCTCCCGCTTCGCTGAAGGGGCACTACGCAGCTCTACCTCTCTGTACAGCGCCATTCGCTCCATAAGACGCACTCACATTTCCCCTTACTTTTTAGGAGGAAAAAAGTGCGTCCTATGGAGCGAAAAATACGGTAACCCTCCATGAAGAGCTCTGTCCTCTTAACAGTGAATATGTCCTGGGCTGGTTTGAGGCAGAGGAATGGTGGGAGGAACCAGCTGGGGAAACAGTAAGGAAAGAAGAATCAGAACCCGGGGAGTGGTGGTGGTGGGACAATGATGAGTGGGCAGAGGGAGAAGAGGGAAAAGACCGGGAAGAGGTAACAAGGCTTGGTGAGCTGGGAGATTTGGTGGCAGAGATAAGTCCAGAAGCAGAGGCAGAAGTTGTGGCAGGCGAGTGGGAGGCCAAGAGGCAGAGATGAGTCCTGCTGCTGAAGAGTCACAGGTGTCTCCCCCTCCTGCTGTAACAAGCTCCCCTCCATCCTGTTCTCCCAGAACCAGAAGAGGCATGAAATGGGCAGAGCAGAGGCAGGCTGCAGGCAGGCACAGTCTCCAATTGCTTGCAAGAAGCCCTGGAGAGGAGGATACATAGACAGCTGTGGGTAGGTGGGGACTTTTAATCTCAGCAACTGATTTCATGGAGAAGGTCCTACAGGGCATGAACTGCTAATAATAATAAATAATAATAATAAATTTTTATTTATACCCCGCCCTCCCCAGCCAAGACCGGGCTCTGGGCAGCTAACAACCAATAATAAAAACAAGTTGATTAAAATACAATTTAAAAGATTAAGATACAACATTAAAACATTAGGATGCAGCCTCTTCAGAGGAAGAGAAAGGAAAAAGAAAGAGGGGGAGGGAATCAAACTGATTCTAAGCCAAAGGCCAGGTGGAACAACTCTGTCTTACAGGCCCTGTGGAAAGAAATCAGATCCTGCAGGGCCCTGGTCTCATGAGACAGAGCATTCCACCAGGCCGGAGCCAGTGTTGAGAAGGCCCTGGCTCTGGTTGAGGCTAATCCAACTTCCTTAGGGCCCGGGACCTCTAGGGTGTTGCTATATATGGACCTTAAGGTCCTCTGTGGGGCATACCAGGAGAGGAGATCCCGTAGGTACGAGGATCCTAGGCCGTGAAGGGCTTTAAAGGTCAAAACCAGCACCTTAAATCTGACCCTGTACTCCACCGGGAGCCAGTGCAGCTGGAAAAGCACTGGGTAAGTGTGCTCTCATGGCAGAGACCCTGTGAGGAGCCTCGCTGCAGCATTCTGCACCTGCTGGAGTTTCTGGGACAGTTTCAAGGGCAGCCCCGTGTAGAGCGAATTAAAGTAGTCAAGCCTGGAGGTGACCATCGCATGGATCACTGTGGCCAGGTCAGGGCGGGAAAGGTAAAGGACCAACTGCTGTGCTCATTGGGCCTGAAACTCAGCCAAGTCTGTGTCAGATTGTGTTTTTGCTAATAAAGAGTTAACTTTGAACGGCGTGATTTACTGCTGGCTTACTCTTTGGCAGAGTAGCACCTTTGGGGGCTCAGGGGGTACTGCTGCCCCCTTCCATCGACCACTCTGCCTAATGATTGAGACCCAGCCCTGAGCCTTCTTAGATTCCTTTCTGTCTGGGAGAAGTCGACGGAAAAGCCTGTGCGCAGATCTTCACTGGGAGGTTGTGGTTTCCCTCACAGGATACAGGCCAGCAGTTCCTGGCAGAAGGTATTGCAGGGAAGCTGCAGTTCTGTGGCTTGCCACACGGGGCAGAGGTCAGTTTCTGACCATCGGTCATAGGAAGCTGTCATTCAGAAATATACAGTGGTACCTCAGGTTACATACGCTTCAGGTTACAGACTCCGCTGTGCTTCAGGTTAAGAACTTTGCTTCAGAACAGAACAGAAATCGTGCTCCAGCAGCGCGGCGGCAGCGGGAGGCCCCATTAGCTAAAGTGGTGCTTCAGGTTAAGAACACTTTCAGGTTAAGAACGGACCTCCGGAACAAATTAAGTACTTAACCTGAGGTACCACTGTAATGGGTATAGGTGACTCTGCAAACAAGATGGCTGTGTAGACAGTATGGAAGAGAAGTGCTTTATTGCCGGGGGAGATCCGAAAGGATAGGTGCAGGCATGCCTTAGGCAGCAAAGAGCACCAGGCCCCCTCAGGGCAGCCATATAATGGGCTCCAGAGAGCTAATTGGAAGGCTATGCATTAAGTTAGTAATAAATATATAAACAGCAGCAGAAAGAGGTAGTGTGGGCTGACTGAACTAAAAGGCCCGAGATCCGAAAGCCTGCTGGACATGGCATGGAGGGGCTAAGGCTTTGTATTATGAGATATGCTTCTCTGGGCACAGTGAACTTTTGCAAGGAAGCATGATGCCACAGAGTCAGCCACTGGTCCATCTAGCCCATAATTGTCTGCCGGCAGCAACTCTCAAAAGTCTTGAGCAGAGGTCTTTCCCATCACCTGCTATTGTATCCTGGACCTTCTTGGAACTGAAACAGGGGCTGTTATGCAGAAGATGGGCTTTACCACTGAGGAATGTCCGCCTCACAGTGCCAGAGCTACCCCTTTCTTCAGATAGGGTAATAAGGTAAGGGGGAAAGGACCCCTGGACGGTTAGGTCCAGTCAAATTTGACTATGGGGTGCAGTACTAGTCTCACTTTCAGGCTGAGGGAGCAGGCAGGTTTTCCAGGTCATGCGGCCAGCATGTCTGAACCGCTTCTGGTGTGACGGGACACTGTGATGGAAGCCAGAGCGCACGGAAATGCCATTTACCTTCCAGCCACAGCAGTACCTATTTATCTACTTTCACTGGCGTGCTTTCGAACTTCTAGGTTGGCAGAAGCTGGGACAGAGCAACGGGAGCTCACCCCGTTGCGGGGATTCAAACTGCTGACCTTAATTAGCAAGCCCAAGAGGCTCAGTGGTTTAGACCACAGCACCACCTGTGTCTTCAGACAACCTGGTCCAGTATTCCTTTAGATCCTTATGTGCAAGTAGCAGGACCTTAAAACTGATCCAGTAGCTAGAGAACTGTCCTCTTTGAAGCAGGACACTTGGCCAACCCTACACTGGCCACTGATGGCCAAAAATAAAGAGGGTGAGCTTATCAAGCATTTGGCAGGCCCAAATATACAGCTGAGTGGCTGTGGTTAATGTGCCAGGTCACAAGCTGTGCAGGAGGCCTGGCCTCCCCTTATTCCTTGTTGGTTTGTGGTGATCCCCTTTGTCTGTCTGCTGTTTCAAATGCCTTTACATGTAAAGCTTTCCTTTGTATTGTTAAATTATCATAGTCTTTGAGATAGGGACCCCGTGAAATGGGGTTGGGTTGCTAAACTGGCAGGCATCAGTTCTGTACAGGAATGGGGCAAGAATTCAATTGAGTTCATGTTTAGAGGTGACTGTACCACATTTGCACTTCCTGAAACAATATGCAAGGTGACCGTACCACAATTCGCACTTCTCTGAATTTTGCAGGGCCATTCTCCAGCCAAGTAACGTGTGTGAGAATAAATGCACTAAGGTAAAGTGTGTGGAAAATGCACATTTAAAAAAAAAAAAACGTAGGCAGATCCATTATACCAGGGAGCACCGCTTTGCAAAAATATATACATTCAGCAAAATGGCAAACATATGTATATTGTGAGAAATATGTCCCCAAATGCTAATGAATTTTCACGAGGACTTAAAAACGTGCAAGCTGATGCAGATATGTAGAGAAATGAACTGAAGAATGGGAAAGTGAGAAAGCGAGAGAAACCAAAATTGACAGATTTTGCCCCTTCCTAGCCCAGTAGTAATGACAGCAGCAGCGCCTCCTCTTAAACCAGGATTGTCTTGGCTCCCCTTCCCTTCTGTGTTTCTTGCCTCTCCACAAAAATGCGACTCTTAACCTCCCATCCTTGCAGACATGATGTATATTGTCTTGAAACCATTCCAAGAGACCTAACAAACAAAACCCTTGACCTCTAAGGAAAGTATTCCTTTTTAAAGTGGGGGGAAAGGTATTCTTAGAGACGAACCGCTGGGAACCTTTTGAAAGGGAAGGGATGTGTGGGGGGGGGTGTATTTCTTTTCCATGTATACTTAGTGGGTCTTGACGATTACTGTACAAATATTTTGAAAAGAAGCAGCCAAACGGTCGGGAGATACACTAGAGATTGAAGCCATTTTAAGCACAGTGCGAGCCTAAGCATCAATTTTTCATGGTTGCATATACTAGTCTCAAATGATTTGTTCCAGCAAGCCACAAAAAGGAATATGTTGTCTTCCAGTTGATTTGGGAAGGGGGTAAAGGCAAAAGGGGGAGGCTTTGTGGCACGGGCTAAAGGTTGCAAAAGGTGACGGAGAGAAAGGGTTAGCACTTTTTAAAATTATATATATATCGTTTACGTGTCGGATGAAGCCTAAAGCTGCCAGATAGCTTC